GTTCAAAGAGGGCAGGGCCTTGAAGTAGAAGGAAAATGTAGGGTAAAATACTAAAAAAAACCCACTAAACAAACTTTTGAAAACCTGACCTAACGTTTGCCAACCCTTAAAATTCTAAAACTATAAAAAGTTGGGTTATTGTCATCTCGTACCCAAGACAACTCATACCCAAGGTAAATCATACTCAAAAAAGTTAACTTGTACCCATGCCAACTCGTACCCAAGATAACTCGCACCCAACTCAAAAGGTAACTTGCACCCAAATCAAGAGATAATCCATACCTATTAGTATATATACCATGCATAGGTAGCTGCTGTCACAGCGTTATTACAGCTTATTACGAACTATTCGGTGCAGCGAAGAATGACAAAAATGATTCCGGGACTTAGAAACCTTCCATATCAGGATAGGTTAAAGAAACTTAACTTGCATTCCCTAGAAAGACGAAGAGTGCAGGGAGATATGATAGAAGTATTTAAGTGGGTGAAAGGAATCAATAAAGGGGATATAGATAAAGTTCTTATAATATCCGAGCAGGATAGGACTCGGAGCAACGGATTCAAGCTGGATAAGTTTAGGTTTAGGAGGGAGATAGGAAGAAACTGGTTCACAAATAAGGTGGTGGACGAGTGGAACAAGCTTAGCAACTTTGTAGTAAGTGCGGGAACTCTGGAAAGTTTCAAAAGGAGGCTAGATAGATTCATGGATGATAGAGAGTGGTAGTAACTCTCGACAGGAGCTGCCATGCACAGGCCAACCGGCCTATTGCAGACTCCTTCTTTTCTTATGTTCTTAAGTGCCCCCCCCCCTCTCTAGTGATGGTCAGTACAAACTAATATGTTACACAAATTTACTTGTCAGTGGCCCAAGGTTAAAAATGCTTTGAAAGTATTTGAAGTAGATGTAGGATAGATGATTAGTGGGTCTCATATTATTGACCTGACTAGTTACGTCGCCCTTTCTTTTAAGCTCCTCTTATGTTTGCTGTGGTGGTGGCGTGTGGATTAGTGGATGTCATGTTTTTTACCTAACCTCATGATTTGTAAAGTCACCCTGTGTACATAAGCCTCTCTCAGTCCTTGTAATTCAGTTGTCTCGGAAGATGGCTTGAATAAAGACAAAATTTAAGGTGCTCCATTGTTTCCCTTTTTCCTGTGTGATTTCATCAAGATTTATCTTATCCACATTTTCAATATATATATATATATATATATATATATATATATATATATATATATATATATATATATATATATATATATATATATATATATATATATATATATATATATATATATATATATATATATATATATATATATATATATATGATAGTTCGTGTAATTCACATCTTCAGGGGTGAGTACAGACTAGAGAGAGTAATACAAATCAAGGTGTATATATACAGAGGAGGGTGAGACCAGGTCCACAATGGTCAGGTATTAGGTAATGACCCTACTAATCTTTAAATAGCACACAACGGTTGGTGGTCAGGTCAGATGGTCAAGTGACCCGGCCTTCTCACCTGATCACAAATCTTCTTAATTACAAAATTGTCCAGCTTGTACATGCCGTTACTCAAATTCATGTTGAATGCTTCGGTATGTTTAATAAGACTAGATTCTATGATGTTCCTACTATCAATTGAATTACATGGTAATATTGAGGAGGCATTATCCCAGTCAATGCAATGCTTGTTATCCCTCAAATGAACAAACAGAGCATTGGATTCCTGGCCTGTCCTAACACTGTATTTGTGTTGTTTAATTCTAGTTGCAAGATCTTTACCTGTCTGGCCTAAGTAAAACATATTACATTCCTTGCAAGGAACTTTATAAATGCACCCAATTGTGTTGTTGGGGGAATTCTTGATTAACATTTGTTTAACAGTGCATGAGTTTTTAAATGCCACATTGACGTTCCAGGTTTTTAGCTGTGCAGGAATGTGTGAGAAATTTTTGTGAAATGGTAATATTAAGATATTCTTATGGTCATGGGTGGGCTTGGGATCAGTTCTATAAAAAGTTTTCTTAGTAATGTTTAAGCATTTGTCTATGAAAGATCTAGGGTATTTAAGGTTTGAGCCAATATTATATATATATTTGTATTCCTCATCGATGAATTCCGGACTGCAAATTCTCAAGGCACGTAAAAACATTGTTGAAAATACTGACTGTTTGACTTTATTATGGTGGGCAGAATAATAATGAATGTATGAACACACATTAGTTGGTTTTCTATAAATACTGAACTTAAAAGTGTTACCTATTCTGTGTATCAGACAGTCTAGGAATGGCAATTTACAGTCTTGCTCTAATTCCACAGTGAATTTGATCGAGGGGGCTAAGTTGTTAAGTTGTGGCAGGAAAGCTTTTAGGTCCTCATTACATGGCCAGAGACATAATACATCATCAACATATCTAAACCAGACTGCTGAGGGTGGTAAAATATTACTTAATAGTTTCTTTTCAAAGAATTCCATATATAGGTTGCTTAATACAGGTGAGAGTGGATTACCCATTGCCATACCAAATTTTTGAGCATAATATTCCCCATTGAATTCGAATTTGCAATCCTTAATACATAGTTTGATGAGTTCGATGAAGTCGTCTTTCGAGACGGGCAGTGAAATGTTATCCAGGGAATCTATGAGGAACTCTAGTAAATCATCAACTGGGACCTTTGTAAAGAGTGACGTTACATCAAAGCTGACCAGTTTAAAATCATGATTAATGTGAAAGTTATTGAGTTTATCAACCAGATCCATATTATTCTTGATATTGGACAACAAGCATTGCATTGACTGGGATAATGCCTCCTCAATATTACCATGTAATTCAATTGATAGTAGGAACATCATAGAATCTAGTCTTATTAAACATACCGAAGCATTCAACATGAATTTGAGTAACGGCATGTACAAGCTGGACAATTTTGTAATTAAGAAGATTTGTGATCAGGTGAAAAGGCCGGGTCACTTGACCATCTGACCTGACCACCAACCGTTGTGTGCTATTTAAAGATTAGTAGGGTCATTACCTAATACCTGACCATTGTGGACCTGGTCTCACCCTCCTCTGTATATATACACCTTGATTTGTATTACTCTCTCTAGTCTGTACTCACCCCTGAAGATGTGAATTACACGAAAGCGCTTGGGAACTTCGCGTTTTCTTCTTTCCTTGTGGTACGATTTGCTTGAGTACGAGTTGTCCAGCACCGTAAAATGTTTACCTTACATTCAGGAGCCAGTGCATGCCTAGTACTTGCCAACAGTGTGTAACAGCGACGTGGCTGACGGCTCGAGCGGCCAACGAACCAATCAGAGGTGATGAGGATAAAAGTAAAAAAGTAAAAGTATTCATGTTTTTGGGGGTCCGACTAATTACCCAAATATACCCAAATGTAGCCGCAATGAAGTCAAATAATGGTCCTACATGAATAAATCGGACTGCCAATCACTTCTCGACTAGTATTTGGTGTCACAAAGTAAAAAAAAAATTGGAAAACTTTATTTAATCTGAGTTAATAGATCGCGTGCATGTACGGTACCTAACCTAACCTAACCTCGACTAGTATTTGGTGTCACGAAGTCACAAAATATTGGTTAACTTAATTTAATCTGAGTTAATAGATCGAGTGCATGTACCTAACCTACCCTAACACAACTCAGATTAAATTAAGTTTACCAATTTTTTGTGACTGTGACACCAAATAATAATCGAGAAGTGATTCACAGCCTGATTTACGCTTATAGGACCATCATTTTACTTCATTGCGACTACATTTGGGTAATTACTCGCTCCCTTGGTACAAGCACGCGATCTATTAACTCAGTTTAAATTAAGTTTTCCAATTTTTTGTGACTTTGTGACACCCAAATACTAGTCGAGAAGTGGTTGGCAGTCCGATTTATTCATGTAGGACCATTATTTGACTTAATGCGGCTACATTTGGGTAATTAATCGGACCGTGTTTTTGGTGTTTAGTAGATGATGACATTATTTTCGGTTTTTAGTATGTGTTGATGGTGTTTACAGTGCAGAGATGGGGAGGGATCCATAAACTCAAGAGATTCTTAACATTTTTATAAGTTATGAAACATTAGGTAAGGTTTTCAAAGGCTTGTTTGGTGTTCTTTTCAAGTATTTTACACTACATTTTCTCACTACTTCAAAACCCTGTCCACTTTGAACAACTAATATTGTGGGTTATTTTATCAGTTAATATATCTTGCTCCATATACAAGATTCAATATATAAGTAGGTGTTGGCAACTTCTAAATATTAACCAAGAAAGCTTCTACTTTAGCTATATGGAATAATTTCCTCATGCTGGTGCTAAGTATTACCAAAATACATACCGGACAATTCCAGAATCACCCAGGACAATTACAGAATTGGTGCATATTTTAGTTCTTATTTTGTCTGGGGTGATTCCAGAGTTGGTCAGATTCTCACATCGAGTGGTACATATACTGTGTATACAGTATACCAGAATATATTCTAACACATAATTTATATTAGAAGTTATGACATTTTGTTGCGGTCTTAAGTTTGCCACTTATTAAAAATTAGTTAAGCACGTGCTTCTACCTCCAATAATGCACATTTAAAACTCATGAGAGCCTGACCTTATAATTATTACAACCTCTACTGGACACAAAGATAAATGTAACAAATAAACCAAATTTACGATTATAGCATAAAGAATACAATTGTCCTTCCCAGCCTCAGTGTAGAGGACAGCCTGTTCCTCCACCTACCAGTCACCAAGTAAAAAAAACTCAGTTACTTGACCCCACAAACCAAACTTTGTAAGTTTTTTCAACAACTTATAATTTTTTGTGGTTTTCCGTCACGACGGAGACGCACACCTTCCCTAAATTGTTTGGAACTGACGTACCCTCACGCTGAAAAGCAGATCTACCTATCATGCTGTACAATGTGCACACGAGAATGATAGTTGACATTTGAAAAATTTCCTTCATTACACTCACGTGATAAAAGTTGACCAGCTTTTCCCTCCCATCTCTCTCGCCATCAAAGATAGCATAGTACTGCTTGACGAAGGTCTCTCCGATCTGCTGGAACTGCGGGTTCAAACTCATTTTTTTGGTGTGTTGCTGCCACGGTACTTGTGTGAAGGAAGAGTAAGAAAAAGAGAAGATGGGTGCAAGGAACAGGAGCCCGGGCGTTATGCCTGTCCTACAAGGTCTCGCTGGGGACTGTTTTGAACTTGTCCTGCGCATGCGCTAAACCTACACCACTTAGTATTATTTATATAGTTTTTCTGTGGTTCACACAACGTTCTGTACCACAAAATATTTTTTTAATGTTTTAGTATATACCAAAAATATCAAAAGATTATCCAAACTTGGGATCAGATACACGTATTTATCTAGAATCGAAGTTTCTATTTATAGTAATTTAAAATGGCGTTAACCGCTCACGCCGCCAAATTTGAATATACACAGCACACGTGTTCATGATTTTCAAAACTAAAAGTATATAATTGTATTATTAATTACTAGATAGATGCCAGTTCTTACTCAGTAACGTTAGCAAGAACATTTCGCAACATAGACCCACATTCATGGAGTACTGGTGTACAATAATGTTATTAATAATAATGGTGAATTACAGTAATTATGAAACAAATTCAAGTATTGTTATACCGAGCCATAATTTCGTATTATAATTTTGTAAACTAGGTGTTTTGGTTGTTTTCTGTCCCAAGCAGCAGTTATTTGGGCAAATTTAGGGAGATTTTTTTTGTATGTATTGATGTATTACTCATGTAAGATTATTCTAGAATGTATTGCATCATTTTTGTTATGTCTTACTTATTATTGAAATCTCGATCAGAGTAGAACGTTTCAGAATCTCCCAGGCGTCTCTGGGTGATCAAAAATGTTCGAGAGGCGTCTGACAGGCGTATATAAACACCCGGAGCAGGCAAGAAAAAAAAAAAAAAAATCTAAATATTTAACTATACAGTCTACCCAAAAAACAGTCAAAACCTACTACATGATGGAATTGCCATAGTCATCAAACGGAATATTAGTTTGACGAAGGGGCGTTCCTAGAGTATTTGGCATCCGGGGCGGACCTATCCACTGGCACCCCCTTCCTTCCAGAGACGAATAAATATACTGTAAAAGTAAAATACGCAATCGTCCCTAGAGTACTGGGCACCCAGGGCTGGGCATTCCTTTGTCCCCTTACTCTTCCTCTAGTGAGACGAATGATAAAAAAATAATACTTTTAAGGAATTTTGGATTATACGTAGTAAATATTATAAATGTTTTAGTTTCCTTCTATTAATATGGAAAATTATTTTTTTTTTACTGAAGTATAATGTAGCCTACATCAAGTGTAATATTCGTAAATACAAAGCAGGTTTGTAAATGTGGATGATATTTAGGAAATCTACAGTATATATAAACAAATGTATTTCCTAATTTCAACTCAATTTACACGATACAACAAAGCACATACAAGTAATTCAAATATACAAAGTACAGAAACCATAATGTATATAACTACAAGTTACACATTAAATAAAGTATTACACACTGAGAAGGGCGCAGCCTTCTTCAACTCACTTTTATCAGAAACTTGACCAATAGCACTAAATTGTTCTAAAAACATAGGAAACCACGAGAAACAAGGGGTATACTTTTGTTGTGGATCTCTCCCCTACAATCTACATCGGCATTCCAATGCAACAGTATCCTAGCAACCAAGAGAGCTGTTCAGGGGGGAGGGGGGTCACCAGCTGCCACAGTATCCTAGCAACACGGGGGATCGCCACCTGCTACGTCTTCCCTAGCAACGGAGTCAAGAAACCGGCGAGTTCCCACGCCCTTTATAATATTTATACTGTATATACTTGTCACACTTGCCAGATGTTTCTGGTGTCATTGTACAGGGGTACCTAGTGACAGCACTAGGATCCCGCTTCCTCTATCAAGGAATAAACAATTGAAATTGAAATTGAATTGAGTTCCCACGGGTTTACTTCCGGCTGCTGTGTATATAAGCTCGCAGTCTCTCCTTTGAGATTTTCGGATTCAGGGCACATCACTCAACTCAAGACGCACTCAACATAATGACAAACTACCTCCACATGAACAAAGGAGCATACAAGACAGCACTCATTACAAAAGACGTACAAAAAGCCTTCGACACAGTTTGGCACGACTGACTAAAGTATAAGATATGCACCAAGTTTAACCTTCCTCAAAAATCACAACAATTACTATGCAACTTCCTAACAGACAGAAAAATTAAGATAAAATTCACACCTGCCTACTCTGACCACTTCACACTGCAAGCAGGAGTCCCACAAGGATCAGTCCTGTCCCCAACACTATACATTCTTTACACAAATGACTTACCCGACCCCTTACACATCGACTCAAATCTGACAATACAGTACGCCGACGATGTAACCCAACTAGTCAGACACTACACTAGTCTTGATCACCTAACAGACAAAGCACACAAGGAGCTAGAACAAGTTACACAATGGGAACTCTGATGGCGAATACAAACCAACCCGAACAAAGCACAAATCACCTACTTCGGCACCAAAAGACGCCAACCACGTCATATTTACCTAAACCCCTACATCGACAACCCTTCACCCATAACTGTCAAACGAACAAACACAATCCAAGGAGTCACATTTAACGACACCCTCACCATGACACTCCACACGAAGACGAAGGCATTGATCACAAACAAAACACTCGGAAATATACACAGATTCAGAACCGCATCAATCAAAACCAAAACACACCTATTCAAAGCCCTCATACGCCCACTATTGACTTATGCACCTAACACACTCCAGCTAGCAGCACCATCAAACGCCAAGAAACTTCAAGTCATACAAAACAAAGCACTAAGATTCATCCATAACACACACTGGTCATCCTTCACCCCAAATAGTCATCTACATGAACTCAGCTCCCTCCCTCCACTCAACATCTACTGGAGACAACTAGGAGACAAACAAATAGAATCACTCCTCACTACTTACCCTCAATGGCAGGAATATTTCGATATCATACTCCCACGCAGATTCAGAAACAGGGATCCCTCCATACTAAACAGACCAAACACACCCCTCCCACCTCCCTTATATTAATAACTCCCATATCAAACCCCAACACCTTTCCTCAACCCACACCCAACCACTCCCCCCCTAACCTAACCTAACCTTACCTGACTTACCCAACCTCTTAAAAAAAAAAAAAAAAAAATATATATATATATATATATATATATATATATATATATATATATATATATATATATATATATATATATATATATATATATATATATATATATATATATATATATATATATATATATATATATATATATATATATCTTAATAAAATGTGATTTTATAAGATTTATCTTATCCACGTTTTCATTGTGATTTACATGATATATATATATATATATATATATATATATATATATATATATATATATATATATATATATATATATATATATATATACATGCAAGTAAATCACTGTAGGTGCGCGTGATCTAGGTATATGCTGATAACCACAAGGAAAAAGAAAACACGAAGTTCCCAAGCGCTTTCGTGTAATTCGCATCTTCAGGAGTGAGTACAGACTAAGGAGAAGTAAGTACAAAACAAGGTGTATAGAGTCAAACAATCCTCCCAAAACAAAAACTTAATATACCCGACCTTTCAAACAACTCCCTTCCACCCCCCTTTATAAAAAAAAAAACATGTACATTTACCTCATTACAACTATTCATTAACCACACAAATCATATCACCCCTAAGAAATCCTACTATACTATAAATCAACCTAACTAACTCCAAAAGCCCCCCCTCTCCCCCCCCAAAAAAAATCCCAACAACTCACCATACCTGACCTTACTAACAATTATCCTCCTTCCCCCTCACCCCTTACTATATTGACACACACACACACACACAACAACCCCCCTTAAGCAATCCTAATTCAGCACACATCAACATACTGTGGGGTATGGGTTGTTTGGGTTCACACTCAGGATGGGATGGAGAAAGGAAACTCACAATGTGCTCTCTGTATACATGTTGTATTGGATGTACAATGCAGCTTGGTGCTGGGAAGTGGCAGCGTGGTTACAAGCGTGATGTAGAGAGAGCTGGTTGGTGAGGATGCTCAGAGGAGGACAGCTTGTGGGTCGCCATGCTCGCCGGCGGGAGCGAGGGCCGCCAGGCAGCGGCGGAGGAGGTGGTGTTGCTTGCTGTGACTGTAGCTAGAAGAAGAGAGAGGTCACCACGAGGTCAGGTCTTAAATAGCGGGGGTAGGCGTGGCTTAGTAGTTGACCTCCGTGATGTATGGCAGCGCTAGTTGACCCAGACCACGAGGCATACACTGGGGAATTCGCAGGGTCGGCTACTCAGCGACAAACAGCGTTTGTAGGGGAGAAATCCACTACACCTCCACCCCCAACCAATCCCCAAATACAAACTCCCCCCCACAACCAATCTCCAAACACAACCCCCCCCCAGACAAAGCCTTACATAAATACTACAACTCTCCAGAACCAAATCAAACATACCCAACCTCTGTGACAGCCACTCTCAATAAAATCGACCTAACTCAAGACTGAAACCAACCAACCTATATCTCATTCTCATCTCCAATCATAATTTGACAAAAAAGCTCAAATCTGTTTCCTGCTATTACTAAAAACTCTCCTACGATACGCTCATCCTTCCTTACTACGAATACTTTGACATTTCAAGCTCAAAGATTCAAAACTCTTCCTCCAACTCGCTCCGTTCCTCAAAGACTTTACCTTCATCTTTCTCCAAACTAGCTACATTTCCATTTTCACCTTCCCTGTTACTTTGACCATGTGTGCCTGTGCGTCCGTCCACCTGCGCTTCTCGGCTTGCGCCGCCGCCGTGGCGGGGCGGTTCTTCCTCCGCTTTGCCAACACTGCCTGAGCTAAGACGACAACCAGATCACCCGTGTTGGCCCTTTGCCTGCCCGGTCCTGCTCCCGCCCTCCCTCTGCCTCGTCCTGATTGTGATTGTTACACCATCCGGGCACATTGCCTACCCCCTCACGTAAGCGGTGTTTAGCCACTGCACCTATTCTCTCCTTCTAAAAATTCACTTCTATCCTCCCTTTATCTTTCCCCTGAACCTCTTTCCCCCCTGTCACTAGCTTTTATGTATATACAGT